TCACTTTCAGGGAGAAAAAAAATCAGGGAGAAGGATTCATCGTATTTTACGATACGGAGCCGCCATCACCAATTTCATTATGCTCACCGCCGTGCGTGAGTAATTCCATCGTAGGCTCAATTGACGGTGATGGGTTGGATGAGATTTATCATGTAATCGAGTTAGTTTTGTTAGGGTTTAATCCCTAGTATCCACTATGTTCTGAGATTGATGTTGCTATGACTTTGCTATGCTTAATGCTTGTCACTAGGGCCTGAGTGCCATGATTTCAGATCTAAACCTATTATGTTTTCATCAATATATGAGAGTTCTTGATCCTATCTTGCAAGTCTATAGCCACCTATTATGTGTTATGATCCGTTAACCCCGAAGTGACAATAATCGGGATACTTACCGTTGATGACCGTAGTTTGAGGAGTTCATGTATTCACTATGTGTTAATGCTTTGGTCCGGTACTCTATTAAAAGGTGGCCTTAATATCCCTTAGTTTCCACTAGGACCCCGCTGCCACGGGAGAGTAGGACAAAAGATGTCATGCAAGTTCTTTTCCATAAGCACGTATGACTATATTCGGAATACATGCCTACATTACATTGATGAACTGGAGCTAGTTCTGTGTCACCCTAGGTTATGACTGTTACATGATCGATTGCATCCGGCATAATTCTCCATCACCGATCCAATGCCTACGAGCTTTTCATATATTGTTCTTCGCTTATTTACTTTTTCGTTGCTACTGTTACAATCACTACAAAACTCAAAAATATTACTTTTGCTACCGTTACCTTTTGCTATCGTTACCACTACTATCATATTACTTTGCTACTAAATACTTTGCTGCAGATATTAAGTTTCTAGGTGTGGTTGAATTGACAACTCAGCTGCTAATACTTGAGAATATTCTTTGGCTCCCCTTGTGCTGAATTAATAAATTTGGGTTGAATACTCTATCCTCGAAAACTGTTGCGATCCCCTATACTTGTGGGTTATCAGAGGCGGCGGCGGACGTCGGCGAGGTGGAGTCGCATTCTGCAACGCCCTGTATGGCACATCAATCCAGGCGCCACAACCACATCGTGGTGGACGTCGGCGGCTCGTCCCCGGAGGGATTCGTCGCCGATCTGACGTCCACCGGCACCGTTCGTGTTCCGGTCTCCGATGATAAAGAGTAGGACTTGGGAGATGGCGGTGCCTTGAGTCCCATGAGCTGGCTCGTGTCCCATGCCCTACCCTACCTTGCCACCGACCGGACCAACACTTTGAGGGGCGTAACCAGCCGCTGGACATGGCCAGGGTGGAGCTGGGCGGGCGGGAGCGGAATCAGACGAAGCTCCCATTAAAGATCTTTTTGTTGCATGTATTAATATGAATTTGAGGTTTCTAATTTGAGGTATCCAGATGTGTAATGCATTTTTTGAGGGGCGACCGGTCACTGTTCGCGGACACGTCCGGGCGCATCCGCGAGCGTTTGAGGGGTCGGATTTGCCAAGTCCGACTGTAGATACTCTTACCAACTCAAATTTGAGGAGTTAAGAAGCCACAGACTCCCGCTAAACTTAGCTCTCTAATTGTTTTTTTCTTTAGATCACCAGTTCATACAAAAGGCATTTAGAGCATTTATAGCCAGATGCCTCAAACCATCACTCATACGCCCGCGGACGCGCCCGATCAGTGACTAGACATGAGAGAGAAGGAAAAACGTGACCCAACCGGACCCTTCATATCATCCCTATATGACTGGGCTATCCGTGAACCCTCATATCCATCTCAAATATGGGGAGCATATGAGGGTTTGTGGACGCGCTCGGGCATTCCGCCACATCGGACGCGGTCGCACCCCGTACCACCTTTTCTCTTTCTTTATACATTCTTCTATTTCTCTCTCTTCATCTCCACCAATCACATGCATGTGACCGGGCATATGCGAAGAAAAATGAGGAGTGTGGTTGCGTGGACGGATAAATAGGGGCTCAAAACGGGCACGCCCGGTCATTAACCGGGCGCGTCCTCGAGCGTTTAAGAGTTCATATTTGCTCTGTCCCGTTGTAGATGCTCTTAGCATACATGGTATCTATAACAGAACCCTTAAATTTGAACTTCTTAAATGTCTTCTTAAACCTTAACTCCTCCAATTTGAAGAGTTAAAAAAACATGGATCTAACCCAGCCCCTAAAATTTAGCTCCCTTATTTTTTAAAAGAAGTCTGACATGAGTAACCCTCAAATTACATCACTAGTTCACCCAAAAAAAGTCTTGAGTACGCTGCAACAAGCAATTGATGTACCACAATAGACACCATTTGCGTAGGGAGGCTCACGAAAACTTTATTTGGTAGATCAAGATAAGCGCCACCGCATAATAACCCCCCCCCTGCCCCAAAGGAAAAAAGAGCTCCATCTAGTATCCCCACCCCCAAAGCTTCATGGTGGAAGAGTAGTGGGACAACGACCTACCGGCGGAGGTAGGGCGACTACATGGCGCACCCGAAAAATCTCCTTTCTAGGGTTTAGAGAGGAGATAGTGGTTTGATGGATCGTAGATAAGTAAAGTTAACCAACCAATATAGTATAGAATTTGAAGCTCATATCTTGCAAATGGGAAATAAGACCAGTAGGGGGAGCATCCCCTACGTTTTTTAATTAAAAGGAGAACGTAAGACACAACGTGCGAGTCGAGGCAAGTCGAGGCTCAAACCAGCGTCAGCTAAGAGACACCACTGCGCTTTGGCCATTGGGCCAGGAGCCCAGAAGATTGACGCCTTTTCGCTCTATTAAGGTTCAGAAGGGTCGGGCCACCCCCAAATGCAACTCTTCGCCTAGTTGGTACAACACGGTAGAATCCTCGCGGCGGAGAATTTTGCAATCCGTGGATAGCCACACAATCTGATCTGTCATCTCTTTCTTGCATTCATTGAGACTTTCGCTCACCTATGTCGAGATTGCGCCTTCTCCCAGGAGGTATGGAGGATTGTCAATGCTGCCAAGGAGATGACCATGCCAAGCCCGTCTAACGCTGATTCTTCCATAAACCCGTGGTGGGTTGGGTTCCTCGCGAGTGCCTCCGAGCGGAGCGTGAGGGAGCGTAGTGAGATCATGACATACTTGCTCTGAAACATTTGGAAGGAGAGGAACTATCGTGTATTCACCGACAAGAGGATGACCTACCGAGAAGTGGCTAACCAAGCCTTTGGCGGATATTTGCTTACACAGATCTAGTTGTTTTCTCTTTTCACGAGTAGTTCGCATGCCGTTTAATTAAAAGGCAACACTCATGTGAGTTTTCTCGAACAAAATCTTGCAAATTGTGAAAATAAAAAGTCTTCTTTTCTTCACGGGGAAGTGAAATATCTTCTGAGAGTGCAATGGACATTTAAAAAAAATGCATTGCCTTTTAGTAAAATTTAGAAGATATACTCCCTCGTTTCAGAATGTAAGGTGTATTGATTTTCGTGCAAGTCAACCAGTTGAAAGTTTGACCAACATTATAGAACAAAATAGAAACATCTGCAATACCTAATAGATAAAATATTGAACTACCTTCCATGATCGATCAAATGATATAAATTTCATATTGTGGATATTGATATATTTTTCTCTCATTTTCCGTCTTTGGGCCCACCTGTCAAAATACCCCCGAGTCATTTTTTCTCCTATGCTGCGGTTCGGCCGGTCGGGTGCGCTCGGGTGAGGAAGGGAACAGAGTCTCCTTCCTCTGCGCGCCGCGCCGCGCCGCCCCTCACCGTCGAGCCCGCTGCCGCGCGACTCCTCCTGCCAAGCTGCGCCGCGCCCCTCCCCGTCGGCATCGGAGCCGCGCCGGGATTCCTTATCCCCCCAGGACCGCGCGACGCCGCCTCCCCGTCTCCGGCCGCCGCGGCCTGAGCAGCTCCGCGCGGCGGCGAGACCTCGCCGGTGTTGCCTCGCAAGCCGGCCACGCCAACCGCGACAGCTGCACGCAGGCAGTCGAGGCAGCTTACAGGGAATCCAAAAGCCAGGCTCGGCGCCCCCACATCTCGCTGGATTGGCTGGCCTCCTCTCTTCGGTCTGACATGATCTCCTCCTCGCTCTTCTCGCGCCCCCGCCTCGCCCCGCGCCCCGCATCCGCCGCGGCCTCCCCCTGCCGCGCCCGCCTCGCGGTCGGCAGCGGCGGCGCGCGCGGGCTCGCGGCCGGCGTGCGGTGCCAGGCGCAGGCGGGGGACATGGACGCGCACTACATGCGGCGGTGCGTCGAGCTGGCGTGGACGGCAGCCGGGCACACCAGCCCCAACCCCATGGTGGGCTGCGTCATCGTCAGCGAAGGCCAAGTCGTCGGCGAGGGATTCCACCCCAAAGCCGGGCAGCCCCACGCCGAGGTCACCCCTCTCACCCTTCTTCTTCTCAATTTGATGCTCACTCTTTTTGGACTACCAAGGATTTGTCGGATGATGTTTATTGCAAGCCTGTGAATTGAACAACCATCTACCAGTAGCCTGGCCTGTTAGCAGTTCACAATCTTCATATGATCCCTAATTTCACATATATTTTACTCATTCAGGAAAAACCAGCGCTACATTAAGCAGTACTGTTCCAATACTGCATTATGTCATAAATTGTTCACTTCTACTGCAGCTGTCCAGCAGATGATAGATACATCTAACACCAAACAAATATTTAGGAAATATCACTTGTAGCCAGTATGTCAACAGTATGCAGTAGTTTTCAGTCATACACAACAATATGATCTCAGCTAATGCTATTATGAAGAAATAAATTGAAAAATGTCTTACATTATGAGACGGAGGGAGTACTATTTAGGAAATATCACCTGTAGCCAGTATGCCAACAGTATGCAGTGGTTTTCAGTCATACACAACAATAACCAGCACCTATGTAGTATTCGGCTATTACCCTATTACGTATAGGTAGCAGAACCTATGTTTTTTGCTTGCATAAGAACTTGGGCCACTAAAGTACAATGGTGCTGATAATTTCATAGGCTCGTAGCCAAGTATGGTGTTGCTAATATGTGGCTCTATCTGCAGGTATTTGCTTTGAGGGACGCAGGGCATTTAGCAGAGAATGCAACAGCTTATGTGAGTCTGGAGCCCTGCAACCACTACGGGAGAACCCCTCCCTGCACTGAAGCACTCATCAAAGCCAAAGTTAAGGAGGTTGTGGTGGGGATGACTGACCCAAATCCTATTGTAGCATCCAAAGGGATTGAAAAACTCAGAAATGCCGGCATAGATGTAAGGGTTGGCGTGGAGGAAGCATTATGTCTCAGATTAAATGAGGCTTACATTCACCGTATGCTTACTGGGAAGGCCTTTGCAACTTTGAGGTAAATATCCAACTACAAGTATCTTCCTAGGATTCTAGTATTTTTGCTAATTTATAATTATAGGTGTAGCATAATTTTGAAATCTAAGTTGCACAAAAGGGCAGCCCCGGTGCATGTAGCTCCCGCTTGTGCAGGGTCCGGAGAAGGGTCCGACCACTTTGGGTCTATTGTACGCAGCCTTTCCCTACATTTCTGCAAGAGGCTGATTCCAGGACTTGAACCCGTGACCTCTTGGTCACAAGGCAGCAGCTTTACCACTGCGCCAAGGCTCCCCTTCAAATCTAAGTTGCACAGCATGTTCAAAATTTGTGTTTCACATCTGTGGTTAAAAAACGTAGGGTGCTCATTGCTTCAGCCATTTTAGTGTAGTAATGTTTAATGTTTATAGTTTGTACTGTTGCATATCAGGTGCGTTGGTTCTTTTTGTCTGAATATGATGTGTGCTGCTGCTGATGTTTTATCTGTTACACTGAAACCAGAACTACACTCTCGATGAACGGAACTGTCATAAATCAAATTGGGAGCGGAGCTGATCAACCAGGAGGATACTACTCGCAACTAGCGAAAGAATACGACGGAGTTATAATTTCAAGCGACATGGCCAAGGCGACTACCTTACCAATATCACGCGAGGCTGGCGCAAAGCAGCCTCTTTACATCATCATAGCGCAGGGAGAAGGTTCCAAAGTACACATCCCGTTTCTCAATGAAGAGTCTGCATCTAACGCCATAGTCCTGGCTGATAGTCCCGTCGCCGTGGAGCCATCGGGAGTCAGCGTCTCGGTCCTCGACCAGATGAACCTAGAGTCCATCCTCCGACTTCTCGCGGATCGAGGGTTGTGCAGTGTGCTGGTTGATTTCCGAGATGCCGGAGGCGTCCTGGTGCCGCTGCTGAGCAAGTTTCAAGAGGACAAGCTGGTGCAGAAGGTTGTTGTGGAGCTCTCACCTGTCTGGGTGGTGAGCCCAGGGCCGAGCGACCTGGCGTTTGGTGGCAGCCAGTCGTTTCCACTCAAGAACGTGGAGCACAAGGAGGTGAATGGAACTTTGCTGCTTGAGGGATATTTGTAGCATCTTATCTTTTCTGTCTGAGGATTTGTGGCCTCCTGTTGTAAACACCGAGCCATGTGAACTTAAGCCTGAACCCGCGTCCGCTTTGGAGTCGCACTACACCGCTTTATAGTTTCACTTGGAGTAATGAGCGGTCAAACCCGACTATGTGCAAGCTCGACTCCATCTTTTGCAATGTCGAGTGGGACATTAAGTTTGACACCCACATTCTCCATGCACTTTCAAGCTCCCTGTCTGACCATTGCCCGATTCTCCTTGCTGATGAGAGGGGCCCTGGATGCCCTTGCAGTTTCAAGTCTGAAAACTTTTGGACAAGGATTCTGGGATTTATGGATATTACGCAGCATGTTTGGCAGGAACCATCCACCCACCTTGAGCCATGCCAAATCTTGTTAGCTCAAGAAAGCAAGCTTGCATCTCTCCAAGTGGAGCAAGGGGCTCTTCTCCAAAGGTAGGCTTCAACTCCACGCCGCCTTGTTGATCATCCTTCAACTCGACATCACCCAAGAATCGGACCTCTCTCTCCCGACGAGCAGGATCTGAGGGCTAGGCTTAAGAGGAGGGTTACGGGCCTTGCCGTATTGGAAAGGGCACGCAAGAAGCGTTGATAACATCAAGGAGGGTGATGCCAACACAAAAAATCTCACCTTGGAGTCAATAGGAGACGACGAAAAAGCACATCCATAGGCTAAAGCATAACAATGGTTGGGTAATTGATCACTTGGTGAAGGAAACTATTGTCCACAGTTATTTTTCCAATGCCATTGGTAGGGGTCATGCAACAACCCAAGATTTTAATTGGGAGAACCCAAATTTGGGGCACACAGACCTAAAGGGCATTGACGAACCATTCACGAGGAGGAGGTCAAGAGTGCCGTGGACCAAATGCCGAGTGACAAGGCACCCAGCCCAGATGGCTTCACCAGCGCTTTCAGTGCTATAAAATACGGCGGCATTAACAGATCTCATTCAAGAGGGGGAGAATGAAGATACCACGAACATTATTCGTAGTAGGCATGCTTGTTTGTGGGAAGGAGATACCCCCTCTGTTTTTATTTACTCTGCATATTATAGTTGACTAAAGTCAAACTTCATAAAGTTTGACCAAATTTATATGAAAGAATATAAATATTTACGATAACAATTTTATATGATGCGAAAGTGCGCTCAATAATGAATCTAATGGTATTGATTTGTAATTGTACATGTTAATATTTTTGTCTATAAATTTTGTCAAAGTTTACATAGTTTGACTTTGACCAAAGCTAATATGCGAAGTAAATAAAAACGGAGGGAGTACGTTTTTTTTTCCGAATAGGGAAGGAGATACGTTAGCTATGTTGATGAAGACCATCATCGTATTAACCACACGTATTTTATGTGGTCCATGTATTTTGCACTAATAATATTATGGGTTCAATCTCTCTTTTTTGACAGTTATGGGTTCAATCTCTGTTATTATAGGAGTATTGTCTAAACGTACTATGCAACATTAAGAAAAACAAGTGTTCAAATGAACTGTGTGTGTTTCATTGTTTTTCCTCCACGGCAAATAATTCATGAATCTTTTATTGCAGCGCTCATGACCAAGATAGTATAGCTAATTCCACATGGCTGGTGGCACGATCAGAGGCGGGACAACGCCGACATCTAATCTTTACCAGCTTCGGCATCAACCTCCTCCTCCCCCGCAGCACCGGCCTCATCTCCGGCGTTCGCATCATCCTGACATTCTTCTTCCTCTCCCACAACGGGCACCCTGACGTCTCTGTAGCTGCAGACGTAGGGCGCGTCGCGGCCATGGTACGTGCCGGTCCACCTCCCCTCGTCGACGTCGCTCGCGTCCCACAAGGAGGCGTACAGGTACATGGGCTTCTCCGGCCACGGCTCCCCCTCGCGCCGCTCCTCCCGCCGGATCACCTCCCCGTCGACGCGCCACTCCACGGCCTCGGCGCTCCACGCGACGGCGTAGTGGTGGAACCCGTCCGAGGAGTCGAAGGGGAGTTGGTGGACCATCTCCCTGCCGCCGCCCCCCGCCACGAACAAGTTGGTCTGCACGGCGCGCTTGTCGTTGCCGAGGAACTCGAAGTCGATCTCGTCCATGTCGCTGGAGCCCTCCAGCGACGACAGGTAGAGGTTGTAGTTGAGCCCCGCGGTGTCTCCGGCGGGGGCGCGGACCGCGGCGGCCACGGCGCAGCCCGGCAGGAAGCGGCCGCGCGACCGCCAGCGCGCCCCGCCGCGGTGGTCGTAGGTGACGTGGATCTCGCCGGACGCCGGCGCGTGGTGGCAGGCGTCCGGCGTGTAGTCCACGGCGATGCGCTCCAGCGGCTCCGTGCCCTCAGGGCGCAGGTGCTCGTGCTGGTCGTCCGGCGTGACCTCGCACTCCGACGCCATGGCGGATCGGAGGATGGGAGAGCGCAGGAGCGGGGTCGAGGTGGTGGGGTTTTAAGAAGGAATGCAGCTTGAGGATCAAGTTCTCATGGCTGAGTGTTTACAACAGGAGGCCACGAATCCTCAGACAGAGAAGATAAGATGCTACAAATATCCCTTAGGGCTTGTTCGGTTAATCCTCTCTCCAAGAGGATTGAAGGGGATTGGCAAGGATTGGTTTGTATTTTGACTTACAAGAAGTTTAAATCCCCCTCAAACTTCTTCAATCCACTCGGATTCGCACGCAACCGAACAAGGCCTCAAGCAGCAAAGTTCCATTCACCTCCTTGTGCTCCACATTCTTGAGTGCAAACGACTGGCTGCCACCAAACGCCAGGTCGCTCGGCCCTGGGCCACCATCCATACAGGTGAGAGCTCCATGACAACCTTCTGCACCAGCTTGTGTTGAGTAAATAGGCAATTTCTCGATTAAATTAATCCACGAGTAAATCACTAACATGGCATTGACATAAATAAACGCATACTGATATTCAGCCAAGCTAGCGCATACTGCGCTAATTGCAGAAAGATCAACGTAACGCTACCATGGCTAAAACACAAAACAGTAGGAGCGAGATAAATGAGTTATACCCTCCAGTAGGCCATGCAGAGGCCGTGGCTTTGGTGGCTGTAGCGGCGTCCTCGGCGGCCTTCTTGTCGGCTTCAGCTTTCTCGGCGGTGGCACGTTCGGCGTCGGTGGACATGGTGATGATGAAGGCGACGCGGACGTAGAGGAAGTAGATGATCGGAAGCGAGCAGTCGCGTAATCGCTGCCCAAAAACCTATTCGCCCCTTACCCCGTACATGAACCAGAAGGACGTGGTTTCGGAGACCTGCTCTCCCTCGACCGTGTACGCGGCGGACGGGATGGAGTCACCGGCGGCAGCAGCAGCAAGGGAACGACAGTGGGCGTGCGCGTGGGAGCAGATGTGATCCGTTCGTGGTGGCTAGGTTTAGGAGACACCGCACACTTGTATAGGCGCAGCCGCGTGGAGAGACGTGGGCTCGTCCCACGTCCGAGTCCGTGACAGCCCACGATCCGACATCTCAGATCGTGGCCCAGCTGTCAGAGAACTCTCCGTTAGTGACTGGCAAAAATAAGTGCGTAGGTGTGAGCTCGGCTCGGCTCGGCTCAATCCCGCAACCCGCGGCGCGTCGTGACGAGGCGTGGCGTGGCGAGGCGGGCGACGGAAGAGGAGTGCGCGAGAGCCTCTTCTCTTCTCAAGCTCCAATAGCATGTAGAAGAGAAACCCTTATAAGAAGGTCCAACTCCTTTTCCACTTCCGGGGTGGGACTAAACTTCCCACTACACCTAGTGCCATATAACCCACATGGGCCCTTAAAGATTTTTCAGAAATTTTTATATGGGCCTAGAGCCCATCTCAAATTTCAGCAATCCCCCACCAGATCTCAAGGGCCCATTGTGTCCTCTGTTCCAATTACTGTTTCGATATACCAGTGTTTCAGTGAAGACTTGTTAAGGTTGAGCTTCACCTAGAGCAAGTAGTTACACTCCTTCACAACTAAACAATGGACTATGCCTTGAATTGTCAGTTTGGCGTAAAGAAGTTTCACCACATGTCTTACTAGTACTAGGCTGCCGAAGGCTGACCCCTCGGGTGGAGCATATAAGTCACACTCCTGGCCTATTCATGAGCTTACTAGAGATCACCCCAATCTCATAGACTGTGACCAGCAGTCGGCCTCATATAGGTGTGTTCCTCCAAAGATCGCTCTGTAGGATAGCATCTTGCTTATATAAGCTTCGGAACACATTAAGACAGTAGTCATCCTACCATACAGTGTCGAGAGTATTGCATCTTCAATGGAGTGGGTTAGTATAGTTACTCTCCTCAGTTCACCACTGGCTTGTTTTCCCAGGTCCTAATTCACGGGATCTCCGATCACATAGGTTGGGTTACTACCATGGCAACTCATGTGGGTCTCATACCCATCTCCCTCGATGCATTATCTGTCACTACACGTGATAGCCCTTTCGTAAAGGGATCTTCCAGATTCTTAGCCGTATGGACATACTCCAACGCTATCACTCCGGAGTTTCTTAATTTTCTGACAACCTTTAATCTCATTCTTATGTGTTTGTTGGACTTCATGTTGTCCTTTGAACTTTTCACCTTGGTGATGACAGTCTGATTATCGCAGTTCATAAGGATGGCTGGAACCGGTTTACCAACCATTGGCAAGTCCATCAAAAGATCTCGAAGCCATCCTGCTTCGACACCAGATGTGTCTAATGCTGTTAATTCTGCTTCCATTGTCGATCTCGTTAAGATCGTTTGCTTGCAAGACTTCCAGGAAACAGCGCCACCTCCAAGAGTAAACATATACCTAGTTGTGGCCTTCATCTCATCAGCATCAGAGATCCAATTTGCATCACTATACCCTTCAAGTACCGATGGGTATCCGGTATAGTGAAGTCCATAGTTCATAGTACCTTTCAGATAGCGCATAACTCTTTCAACAGCATGCCAATGTACATCACCCGGTTTGGAAACAAAGCGGCTCAGTTTGCTCATAGCAAACACGATGTCAGGCCTCGTTGTGCTCGCTAGGTACATCAGTGAACCAATGATTTGAGAGTATCTCATTTGATCTATAGCCGTGCCTTTGGACTTTCAAATCAACACGCTAGGATCATATGGTGTTTGAGATGGTGTGCAGTCTGAATATCCAAAACGACTCAACATCTTCTCAACATAGTGGGATTGCAGAAGTGTAATCCCACCCTCATTATCTCTTAGTAGCTTGATGTTCAAGATAACATCAGCCACACCAAGGTCTTTCATCTCAAATTTCTGAGACAGAAACGACTTGACCTCCTCAATAACTTTGAGGTTGGTTCCGAATATTAGTATGTCATCAACATACAAGCACAGTGTCGGTGTCAAAACCGGCGGATCTCGGGTAGGGGGTCCTGAACTGTGCGTCTAAGGCGGATGGTAACAGGAGGCAGGGGACATGATGTTTTACCCAGGTTCGGGCCCTCTTGATGTAGGTAAAACCCTACGTCCTGCTTGATTATTCTTGATAATATGAGTAGTACAAGAGTTGATCTACCACGAGATCTGAGAGGCTAAACCCTAGAAGCTAGCCTATGGTATGATTGTCTGTTGTCCTACGGACTAAAATCCTCCGGTTTATATAGACATCGGAGGGGGCTAGGGTTACACAGAGTCGGTTACAAGGAAGGAGATCTACATATCCGTATTGCCAAGCTTGCCTTCCACGCCAAGGAGAGTCCCATCCGGACACGGGACGAAGTCTTTAATCTTGTATCTTCATAGTCCAACAGTCCGGCCAAAGGATATAATCCGGCTGTCCGGACACCCCCTAATCCAGGACTCCCTCAGTAGCCCCTGAACCAGGCTTGAATGACGATAAGTCCGGCGCGCAGATTGTCTTTGGCATTGAAAGGCGGGTTCCTCCTTCGAATACTTCATAGAAGATCTTGAACACGAGGATCGTGTCCGGCTCTGCAAAACAAGTTCCACATACCACCGTAGAGAGAATAATATTTCCACAAATCTGATCTGCTGACATACCCCATAGTGTGACATCACACCACAACCAGGTCTTTATTCGAATCATTTTTCATAACCTATCTCAGCGTGTTTCGCGAGGCGGTTCTCTTGGCACGTCTTGTCGAAGCAGAGATCGTGTCCCCTTATTACGGGATTCCCATCAATACGGGCGTGGGTATCCCAACCCCGCCATCAATTACGGCGCTTGGGGGATAAGCAAGTTTTACCAGCTGGTGGGGGCGCATAGTTTCGTCCGCCCTTATAAAGGGATAAGGTTTCACCTTTTTCTACCCACGCATTCTTCCTCCTTGCTCATCCATTCTCGCGCACTCGAGCTCCAGCGCCCAAGTCCACATCCTTCTCCTCAACTCTCTCCAAACATGTCCGGAGCGGGAGGCAAGTGGATGGTCTCCTCTATCACGGAGGGACACATAAAAAAACTACGCGGGGCCAGATACTTAGCCGCGGATATCACGCACCGGCTGCCAGCCGCGGGGCAGATCGTCCCTACCCCGAAACCTCACGAAAGGGTGGTTTTCCTCCCCCACTTCGTCCACGGACTGGAGTTTCCCCTCCATCCATTTGTCCGCGGCCTTATGTTCAATTATGGGCTGGACTTTCATGATCTGGCCCCAAATTTCATCCTAAACATCTCGGCGTTCATCGTCGTGTGCGAGGCTTTCCTCCGCATCCGGCCCCACTTCGGCCTGTGGCTGAAGACCTTCAATATCAAGCCGAAGGTAGTAGGCGGCCAACAAGCGGAATGCGGCGGAGCCATGGTGGGAAAAATGCCCAACGTTACGTGGCTCGAGGGATCCTTCATGGAGACCATAAATGGGTGGCAATCGGGGTGGTTCTACATCACCGAGCCGCGCGACACCAACTGGGTGGCGGCCCCCGAGTTTCGATCCGGAATCCCCACGCGGCTCACTTCCTGGAAGGATAAGGGCCTGTCCTGGGGTTCATCGGTGGAGCTGGACGGACTCCAGAAGTGTATCCGGAACATGATAAGCAAGAAACTTAAGCTTGTCAACATAGTCCAGGTCATGCTCTTCCGCCGGATCCTCCCGTGTCAACAACGGGCTTTCAACTTATGGGACTTCGACCTGGCCCAGCACCAGACTCTACGCGAGCTCTTCGACACGATGCATAAGGACGTCTAGAAGGTGCTGTTCAAGGGCGCCGAGGTCCCTCCTTCTCTTACCGAGGACCGCGGGCTAAGCGCGAAGCGCCCTGCGAATTCGGTAAGTTCTGTACATCTGGTAGGGTATTTATTTCCCATAGCTTAACCATGTGCGGGGTCTGAGCTCCCATGCCTTTGATAGGACTGGGTGGAGACATCGGAGTAGATTAACTGTCCGGCCCCTCTGCCCGAAGACCCTGCGGACGCTCTCCCGACGGAGATGCGGACTCCGGCTCCTT